ACTTCTGTTCTTTCTGTTACGGTAGGCAGGGCTGGGTTTTTTTTTCATTACAGATGCTAATAATCTAAATTATCTAAAATAATGTACAAATATTTTTTGGTGGGGGACTTCCTATTGCTTCCTATGGGGATTTATTTTAATGTTTTCCAAAAGAATGTTTTCTAAGCCATATACGTAAGTAAATTTTTGTAATTTACGAACAAATACCATTTGGTGTGTGCTACATCTATTCTTACAGCCCTGCAAGGGTAAACAGAGGGCAGTGTTAAATGATCATAACTCAAGGAGTACTTGTAATAAGTTGAATGCAGTGGGAATGGGCTTCTTAAGCCGCACGTGTGTTAAAACAAGGGGGGGAAAGAATCAGGAATTAACAGGTGTTAAATAAATGTGGATTGAATAGAAAAGCAAGTGACCAATATGAAAGGATCACATTGAGGTGATTTGTTCATATAACCAGAAGGAATGAGGACAAAATCATAAAACAAATATGAGTAAATGGGCTGAAAGGAAGAAAAAAAACTTTTTTTTGCTCATGCCTATTTCACAGAACTCTTACCAGACTGGCAGTTTGCATCTGGGCCAGCCTAAATAAGGTTTAATGGCATTTAAGGGGAAGAGGGTTGAACTTTGCCTTCTCGTGCCTATGTAACAATTCCAGACTAATTTCCTACTTGATTCTCCCTTGGACTCAGCCAATTTTTTGTTCTTTTACCAAGATAAACTAAGGAATTAGAACATAGCATAAGGTCCGAATTCTTGTACTTTTGGATTATTTCTGGGATTCAATGACATCAAGTCTAATCTATTTCAGTGTTATACATCTTGGAATAAAATTAAAAAACAACCTTAATTAATAAATCTTGAATCCCATACAAAGTGTCATTTGTTTCCTGAATATTAAATAGTTTAAGGGTCTTATTTGATTTATTTCCCTTTTCCAAGAATCTCCTTAGTGAGAAAATATACAGCTTGTAAAATTCATACATAATAGGCACCAAAGATCTGTATCAGTTAAGAGATAAAGCCTCCCTAAAAATTTTAACTTTAGCTAACAGTTATTTCTGTTTATATGTATGTTACAATTGGGCATTATCAGAGATGCCATAACTGGATTTCTGCTTTGTGGGGGGAAAAAAATCTTCTGCCATTTCTGGTTCCATCTGTTTAATAAAATCCTTATCACTTAGCAAACATCCAGTCTTTAAGTAGTTCTTGACTGTATTCATATTTGAATCACATAAAGCAATAAACTTCACAGAAGCCTGAATTGTATTGGTATTCATATCACACACTTTAATTTTAGAATATCAAATGGCATCAGGAAATAATCTAGTCAAAAAAGAATTCCTATGTGCAAAGAAAAGAAAGTATATTCCAACTGGAGTGGATTAATAGAACACTAAATAGTACTACATTAAATTGAGACATGCAATGTAATATGCTTAATATATAGATGTTAGGGAAAAATACGTACTTTTTCTCAGGAATATGAGATGAATCCAAGACAACTCTGACAACAAGGGTTAAAATACAGCCTTTTCTATGTTTTTCAACAGAACAGACATGTCAAACTCACAACATCATGTATCGAGACAGTTTTGCCATTGCCGGCAATGGGGTGGGCGCAGCTTCCGCATGACGCGTCCGACCCACGGGCCGGCAGTTTGATACCCCTGGCTTAGAAGATCTGTTAATTAAAATCATAAAACCTTTTGATACAGAGCCAGTTGGGTGTAGTGGTTAAGGTGCTGGGTCTAGAAATCAGAACACAATGAGTTTTAGTCCTCCTTTAGGAAAGAAAGCTGGTTTTGTGTGACTTTGGACCACTTACTCTCTCACCATCCGACCCACTTCCTAGGCTGGTTGCTGTGTGGAAAATAGGGAGCTGCTTTGAACTAACAAATAAAAACAAGATAAAATAATAATAATCCCCACCAATGGAATGGTAATTCCTCTCCCAGACGTCATCCTGGATCTATTTCCTATCCTAGTGTAGCATCTTGGTAATTTTCTGCCTTACCACCTACCTTCTAGAAAATCTCCTGGACTTGTAGCCTAATATGTGATTAGAGGTTCCAGGAATTTCTATCCTAGTATGGGACAAATAAATCTGGCAAGAGGTAAAAATCAAACTATTTCTTTTAAAGAAAGGAATTGAAAAAATATATGAAACCCAATTTAAAAAGTCTATACGAAGTTCCAATAGACCACAAGATACTGCTTGTCCACTATAATTAATGATCATGGGAGAACGATGGCTTTCATCTTAAATATCAGCTCCCAAGAAATTAAAAGGCAGAAAAGTAAATCTTGAACTCAATCTAAAATTACACAGAATGCCCTACTTCTACAGAGAAAAAAGATAAGAGAGAGTAAGGCTTCCAAAGCATAAAGACCAAATAAATTAAAACAACACAATCTATAACTAGAGCAGGGATCTTCAAACTTGGCCCTTTTATGACTTGTGGACTTCAGCTCCCAGAATTCCTCAGCCAGGCACGCTGGCTGAAGAATTCTGGGAATTGATGTCCACAAGTCATAAAAGGATCAAGTTTGAATACCCCTGAATTAGAGCAATTCTTTGTTCCTTAGAAGTTACTTCAATGCTGTACTATAACAAAGTTCTCTGGTTTTTTGGCTTCATGGTATACGGCAAACATGTCAAACTCGCGAGTCACGTGATGTCGCGTAACGTATCAGGACGGTTTTTCCATTGCCGGCAATGGGGTGGGCGCGGCTTCCGGATGTATCCAGCCCATGGGCCGGCAGTTTGACATCCCCTGGTATACGGAAATCTCAGCCACTCATCAGAGCAATTGGGCTGAAGATACTATCCACTTATTTTCTTAACTCAGACACAAAAACCGCTTGCTCCATACCTCCTTCTGCCTCTAGTTTTAAAAGAACACAATTTTGTCCCATCCAGAAAATGAAGTAGTAGGGAATCTCCTGAGTGTATGCTATAAAACCCATGACTGAGAAAAGATGTGTACGAAACTCTGATACTGCCTGGCATTTAACTGACAGGGTGATTGTAGGATTGTGCACAATGTTTGCCTAGTTACATCATTCTTCATCTCATTAATAATACAAATTTAACAAAATTGCTCCCACATTCCACAATTCTGGCCATCTACAGCTTATTACAGTATAAAGATGTTAATTAAGAGTTTAGGAGGGATAGATCACTTCCCAATGACAAAGATTTAGTCTATCAGCAAGAATAATAAGGTGCTTAATAATAATACTTCAGGTTCAAGATACCACTACTGTTTCTATGCCTTCATTTCAAAGTTTTGTTACAGCTGACTGTAACAAAAATGAACTGGTTGGCATGAAGTCATCATAAAAAATGACTGTGAATATTAAGGCTGCCATTAATAGAAAAGTTCTAATTATAGAGTGTACAGTAAAATGGAAATGGTGTAGTAGAATAAGAAGAGTTTATTACAAGCGTGCACAAAAATGGGAAAAATGTTTTGTCTTCAACTTGGAACAAACCATTCTGTTCCAGAAGTTCTCCTAAATCAGTGTTTTTGCTGCTGGGGGCTCTTTCATGGTTTGCAACAAGTGAGACCTTAGAATGCTTTGAATGTTCCAGGATTTGGATGAAATAAAATCTGGAGAGGGAGTAAAGCAAAACCAGTGTTGTTGCCTTTTCTTTCCTCAACAGCTTCCAGTTCAATCTATCTATCCCATCAACCTGTCCCCACCTCCATCTTCCCAGTACCTTCCTTTCCCATTCTCCACTCCACTACCAGTGGCTTTTTCTCTGCTCTCTTTCTTCCCCACCCCCTCACTCCTACTTGGATGAAAACAATGCCATTTTGTTCTGTACATGGACCCCTGCTGAAAATATCAATTGGGCACAGATCACCCTGCACCAGTTGCTTTATATACAGAATGGTTCATACATACAGTAGAACCAATAGGAAAGAACACTAGCTAACTGTCAGAAGTTATGCTCAGTACAAGTAGTCCTCAACTTACGACCACAACTGAGCCCAAAATTTCTGCTGCTAAGTGAGGCATTTGTTAAGTTAGTTTGTCCCATTTTACGACTGGTCTTGCCACAGTCGTTAAGTGAATCACTGCAGTTGCTAGTAGCACAGTTATTAAGTGACTTTGACTTCCTCATTGACTTTGCTTCTCAGAAGCTCACAAAAGGTGATCGCATGATCCTGGGACATTGTAACCATCATAAATATGAACCAGTTGCCAAGTGTCTGAATTTTGATCACATGACCATGGGGATGCTGCAATGGTTGTTAAGTCATAAGTCCCTTCTTCTCAAGGCCATTGTAACTCAAATGGTCACTGAATGAACTGTTATAAATTGAGGACTACCTGTACTTCTGACTTGCACAACACAGAGACAGACGTAACCTCAGTTTCAACTAGGAAACTGTGAGCATCCTAGACCAAGCTAAGTCCAAAAATGCTAAAGGATTCCTGGAAGCCTGGCACTCAGACAAATCAGACATCAACAAGCACACAGAGATAAGCAACACCTGCATATCATTCAAAAGAGACAATCAAAAAGCTAAAAAGAAAACAAAAAGACCAAAATTATTCCTTGCCAGCAATCAATACCCAGATAACCATAGATTATTACCAGGATTAACAACAGACAAACAACCAAACACAACAGCCTAATCAAAGAACTACCAAGAACACTCCCACCAATGTGGACAGGGCAAGCTATTAACAGAAAGCAAACCCCACCCACTTCTAGCATTGATGATGGTACCTAGTTGAATAATAAAACACCTGCAAGAAAATAATCCAGTTCAGAGAGCATTAAGGATCCCACAATAGAGTAAAACTTTTTCACGTAACTATAATTTCTAAGCTTAAAATACGTCAATGCTGCAATCTAAATCTACCCAACTGAAATCAGCCTTTTCCTGACTGGATACAAAGCTCATATTTGTGAACAGAAAACAAGTAAGGGGCCACAGAGAACCCAGCAAACTAGGAAGAAAAAAAATACATACGGCCAGAGCTTTTGATAGTTTGGTTCTGTAATTGTTCAGGACAATGGTAACAAAATCCTGCTGAGGAACATAGGCATATCCACCAAGCAAGTAAACTTTTCTTATACGAACTAAATCCACAGCATCACAGAAAGAGACCTGTTTAAAAAAAAAAGTATGAACTATAAAAAGAGTAGACTACAATTTTATTTCAATTAATTATACAAAAAGCACTATTCAAAACTACAATAAATCACTTTTATCCAGCTTAGAGTTGGATAATAACCTAGTGCCAGCCAGCCAATACCTCATTTGACTTTTTGAGGTATGAGTGATGGATCCTACAATCCAAAACATCTGGAGAATTAAAATAAATTAATTTTAAAACCCCAGAAAATAAATGTTTGATTTCAAGCCATGTGATGTGGAATTACAATCTAGTTTTCATCGGATTATGTTGAAACTAATTTTATCAGCCATGCTGGCTGGAAATTCTAGGCACACAGTCCTGATATGACCTGGATTAGGAAGAACCAAATTAAGAATATCTAGATCAGGCTTTTCAAACTCGCGATGTCACGTGACATTGTGCGACGTATCGGGACTTTTTCCCCATTGCCAACAATGGGGTGGGCGTGATTTCGACGTGACGCATCCGGCCCATGGGCCGGCAGTTTGACATGCCTGATCTAGATGTCACAAGGTATGTATTATACAACTTCATGAACTTCTATGTAAATTGACATGCTTGCAAATTGCTGATCAGATATTTTCATTTCACAAAAGATACATATTTAAAACCAAATATGTTGATTAACATGCAAGTGCATCAAAATGACCCACATTGTTTTAATACACATTACTTCTGACAGTCTCTCCGGAGACAAATAGAGACCAATGAAGATGGCCACATGAATCTGGTTGGGATATCACACACAATGTTTAGGAGGGTGGGGTCATATCACAAGAGAGCACATTACTAATACATCTATACATAGGAGTCAAAGTATAACCAAAGAAGGGTTTCTGTTATTTTCAGATATTAAAATTATTTCTAAATTATTTCTAGAACTCAGAGAAATCAAGTCTGCTTCCTGAAGTAGGACACAAGACCTTGTTGAATGTGTTAATTAGTTCTGTGAAGCCGATCTGAAGTAGTACTTGTAAGTTCAAATTTCAGCAAATGCTTCTTCAGACAAAATGCAACTCTTTCCTAAATGTAAATTACATCTCAGTAGCCTGACATTGTACTTTCACCCTGGAAAAATATTCATAAAGTTTTAGCACAGATATTGATAAACTACTGTAGTATTAGGATATAGATCAGTACAAGTAGTCCTTGAGTTTTGACCACTTATATAGGAGAGCAGGTAGAGCTGGAGGGTGGAGTTAATTGTGTCATCCCTATGGAACTGTTACGTTGCCACAAAGAATCCACATCCAGCCTCTCTTGAATTCAGTTGACCCTTATCTAGCACTGACCATTTAACGCTGACCATTAGTTCACTAGATTCTTATGTGTGGGCTTGAATAATAAATCTTCTGAACTGAAACTGAAGGTGTGGTCCTGATCCTTTGCACCTGACAATTCATTCAGCAACCATTGAAAGTTACAGCAACACTGAACAAACGGTTCCTGAAGTTACAGCCATTACAGCCACCAGTCACATGACCAAAATCTGGTTGCTTGGCTGCCCGCCTGCCCTTATGACTGCAGCGGTGCTTCAACTCTCCATACCTGCCTATCTCCCACTACCTGTGCTCTTCTGACCTCCTGTACTCCGCAGGCCCAGCCACCTTGTGCTCTGCCATCCCAGCTGACTTTTACCATTTTCTTGCTCCCATTGCTGGGCTGATGCAGGCTGATGCAGCTGCGGCTTCACAGGGCAGTTACAGTTTCGTGCTGCGCTGCTGGGTCAGGGTGGCTGCAGCTTTCCACGGTGGCTGCGGCTTCATGCTGTATAGAGGCTGAGGGGTTCCTTACAGCCTTAGAGCTGTGGCATGCCAAGAAGCCCCTGCACCGCAGCTTTGCAACCAACCACCAAGCTACGTGGTTCTGGGACTCTTGCTGCCCTATAAGGCAGGGTGCAGGTTGGCCAAAAGGGCGTAGGTAGGGGGAAGAGGCAGTTGGGAGGAGTTGAAGGGGAGGCAGTTACTTTCCTTGGAAGGACCGAGGTTCAGAACTGGGAGTGACTAAGCTGGGAATGGCTTGGAGTGGGGTGGGTTCTTGGCTAATGACTGGCGAAATTTGGTTAATGATGGCAACAAAGACTGCAGGGATTACTATCACTAAGCAATGTGATCACATGATGCTGAGCTTTTCAACAACATTGTTTAGCAATGGAAATTCCAATCCCATTTGCTGTTATAACTTGAGGACTACCTGTAAATCAACCACCCATATCCTTGGAGGCCCATATTTTACGCAAAAAGAAAGAATCAGCATATGAAAAAACAACATTGCTGTTTTGAATAGAAAAAAGAGAACGATAGAGAATTGTAACTTATCATCACAGATGCCATCTGCTCGCTTACCTTATAGAAGACATTATTTTTCAGTTCATTGATACCAATTCCAGGTGTTGCACTGATTAGTTTGTCTGCCTTCTTCAGCTTTTCAGTTTCTGGAAGCTAAAATAATTGTCATATTTTTAATATTCATTGACAGTTCTTTTAAGGCAACTGTACCTGAATAAATAGATTAACTCTACAGAAGTGTGAAAATTATATGATTAAAAAAGATATTAAGGGTTAAAAAGGAAGACATGCATGAAAATGATAAAAAGTAGCACATTGTCTAATATAACTGAGTAGCAGCAAGCTTCATGTACACATACTTTCACTCTGTTCCCATATTGTGGAGGCTTTTGCTTAGTTTTACTTAGCAGAGCATCATCTTGTCATCCTGAACAATGAATGGTAATTATTTAGACCAAATAAACTAACAAAATCCTATTTTATGGACCAGGATCATTTCAACATCCAATAGCTCATGTGGATCACAGCTCCAAAGCTCACTGTAGCCTGGGCTTGTCATGTGGAAAGTATGGCTTACCACTTTATTGGAATGCAATTATGGGTGCGCCTGACAGGTAAAATACAGTTTCAAAACAAAAAAAAAGTCATTGTAGCCCAGCAATTCTGCTGAATCTTCACTCTGACCACAATTTGGCCAAAACAAAATCTGCAGGCACCCCAGAATGATCATTTGGATCAAGCAGAACAATGAAATGTGTCACTCTCTGTATCCCTTCCACCTTCCCATGACCCGGGTGTCACCCCATCTTCACAGCATTCTCGCTTCTTTCCCTCCTTCCCATCAACCACTGCTGCCACTGGCCTGCACAACCATTTCTTCTTACAATGGTCTCAACAGTAAGGAAGAAGCTCCCAACATGGCATTTCTGCTCAAAACATTTTGGTCATATTCAGAACAAATAACCCAATGTCACTCTATATATGGACCAAAACATCTAAAATAATCATATTTCAGTCTAAGTACTGACTACCCTGAAACCAGGGTTATGTACAGACTTTTTCATACATAGAAATGTTGCAGTCATTATTTCTTTGACAGTAGAGAATTTTAAAGTCATAAAATATTCAAGTCATAACAACTTCAGCAAAAATCAGGATGAGGTATAATAAATGGTGTAAAGCTTCAGAATGAAGAGCCGAACCATAAAATTCATCCCAACAGGTTGTACATAATCATAAGAACATGTGTAGAAGTACGTTCTGTAATAGTGTAAACCACACCCAAAGGCAGAAGTTTATAAAGTGAGAACACAATGTTTTCATAAACCTTTTTGAACATTTAAAATGTCTAATCTCTGAATTGCTCAATTACTGAAGAGATGGCTGTCATTGCTGCAGCTCACCCAGGAAATCTGATGAAAGGTTAAAGGCAATGATTTAGAAAATCCCAAGTGGTATCAGATTAGAAAACAGAATGTCAATTCTAACAACTGGCATTCACATATGCACATACTAGCCATGCATTCAGCAATGAAGTTCTCATATTCTCCAGTTTTGTTACAGTGAAGCAAATTTTTGAGTTCCAAAGTGATTAATATATGACTGCTACCTTCCAATCCACTAATACTACAGCACATAGCTCAAAACATGTACAAGATATTGAACTGCAAGAGAAAAGAGGATTTGTGCCTTTCCACAGCAAAATTAAAACAAGCTCTGCATTATTAAAGCTATTTTATTCTTTGTATTAGTCTGATTTTCCAGGATTCTGTATGTTAGCATTGTGAACATAAAATAAACAAAACAATTTGTTTTATTCAGACAGCAGTTCACCGAGCATTTCATTCAAAGGCTATACTTTTAGAACAACAATAGATATTTGGCATAATATACAAATAAGCTGAAGGTACTACAGACTTCTGCACCAATGTTTTCAGCTTCATTCTGAACCAACTGCATCTTGCTGAACATCATAAACAGAGGTCTGCAGAAATTGTTGCATTTATACTTAAACGCTTCATACAGGTCAATCCTTCCAGCTTTATTATTCCTCTGAGTATACTGTGAATTTGTTTTGTTGTTGTTTTTAGTCCTTAAACGTGTATTTAAAGCTTCTTTCACTAAGGATTGAAGGAGATTCACCTAGTGCTGTCAAACATGTTGATCCAATAGCTATTCCTACTGTAATAGCTAAAAAGCAGTTGACATTTATTAGGTTTAATCTATTATGGGACTACAAAAAAGACCTTCCTGGTGGTGGCCTCTTCTCTATGGAATATCATTTCACCAAAGGCACAATTGGCCACTACCTTTCCTAAAAGACCCCGAAGATGTAGTTTTGTCAATGGACCTGGGGACCACAAATGGAAATAGAACTGATCAAGTGGCTGATTTAATTGTGTTGTTGCTACCCTGGGGGAGGGGGCGCTGTATGGTGTGACCTGTATATAAGCTGGATGGCCATATAATTTTTTAATAAAGATATAAAGATATAAATAACAACCAATTTCTGAAAGTGACCAGAAAAGGAAATATGCAAAGTTAGTGTCCTTTCAAAGATACAACTGCAGGTTGAGGGAGATGGCTATTCTCTCATCTCAAACCCATGAGAGTCTACTGTCTTGCAATCTCCTCACAAGGAGAAACTGTCTGGAGCACTTGTGGATAATCTCAAGTCCTTTCTTTGTCCAGAAAGAAATTATCAACCAGCAGGACTATTCACCGGCTCTTTATTTTGTCATGCTTGTCAGCTCCACTTTGCACTGAACCATTATCCATCTGCCATTTCTTCCCTGAAGGTCAACATACCATGTATTTGTGCCAGATGAATCTTACATTATGAATCCCATTCTATCAAGTAGCTTATTCAAATTATTTAAAAAAATTTTTTTTTTAAAATTTATATCTGTAAAATCCTAAGTCTTTGCATTTAAGACAGAATGTGCATAGTTAGGTTTTGGTTCATTCTGAACTATTTTTACAATTTACAACTCCAACTATAAAAGCACTCTGGGGAAAATCTATTTAGATATCTCTTGAAAATCAGCATCTGTTTCTCATCAAACCGAGAAAATTAAGAAATTGAAACTCTTAATGAGCATGGTGTTTTTCACCCTAAGTTGCTTCCATTATGTTTATGGCATAAGAAGAGGCAGCTGTCCAGTTAGGCTTCAAACACATTTTGCTTTTACCAAAACTGTTGAAACTACACCATATGCCCATAACAAGCCCAGTCAAAGACAATATTCTCAGAGCCCACTTCATTAAACCTCTCCATGGCCAACATAGCTATCTCTGAACATTGTAGAACTAAGATAATTAAAAAAAAAAAACTTAAGCACAAGTATTACATGCAAAATGTGTAGAAAAGACCCACTGCTACATGTTGGAATACCAGCAACGCAGAATTAGGAACAAAGCAACTGTGCTGGCACTATGCTTTGACAGGTGGAAAAGGGAAGGTATTCTTTTCAACGATTTTTCTTTCTTCTCTAGCTTCTCTATTAATTGTTTTCATTTTTTTTTTCTTTCCCTTCCATCCCATCAGGCCAACTTGCAATTTTCATCAGCCACAAGAAAACCCTGGCCTGCCACTATCTCTGGTTTTCCCATCCATGGTTCCCTCTTTCCTGCCATACTATCCATTCCTTTTTCCTGTTTTTCTCAGCTGCAGGTCCTCAACCTTGGAGCATCTCTTCCTCCTCACATCCCACTGATGTTTCTTACCCATCTTTGCTTTGATTAATCAAGGTCCGACACTGACATTTCTAGCACCTGCCTGGTCTTCCGTGACATTGCCAACAATTTGCTTGCTTACTGATGCTGTTTATAGCTGTAATTAGCAATTCCCAGCCATGTCTTCTTATTCCACCTTTCACGGATTGCAGGACATACTTTCCATTGAAGGCCTGACTTGTAGAAACCTACCAGTTTCCCTCATTAGTGCATCTCTGGGGCACAGCATGCAAATTTAAGTGTGAAAAGCTAAATAAAGGCCAAGACCTTGGCTTCAAGCATTTGAGGTTACTGGCAAGGTAACTGCTTCTTCTGTCTTCTTTTTGTAGGAATGAGAAAGAAATATAGGGACACGCCGGCAGCATGGTGGTATAGGTACCAATAGTTGGAACAGCAGATATGCTTGAAAAATAACATCTAACGGAAAAACAAGAACTGTGCTTTAATAAAAGCAAGCCAGTGGCACATTCCCTGGAAGCAATAGATAGTCTATCTAAATTACTTGGTTATTAAACAAGATTTATATAGAAAATAAAGCCACGTGCCTTCTGCTGCCTGTCTTCTTACATCTGGTCTTTCCAAAACTATGATTCTGTGACTGGGCAAATTTATTTATTTATTTCTTCTCTGTTCAGTGTCCAAAGGGATGCCTTTGGTCCTTCCATCATAAAATGAGCAGATGAAAGCCCAGAGTCAGGTGATTGTCCATCATCTTGGAATAACTTGCCTACAAAGATCCAGATAGTTCCTTCATTTTTAGGAAGACAGGGGAATATGGTTTTATTTCATAGGCTTAAACAACTGGACATAAACAAGCGTTTACTGGGCTGCCTACCTTGGATCTTTAGACTAGGTCATCATTTCAGAGATATTTCTTTATCTGAACAGAGAAACTAAATGACGACTGGTAGGTAAAAAAGCAATGGGAGAGAGAATAATTCCTGCCACCATGCCTATTGAATTTCCCTGTGTAGGTTGACAGCAGCATCAGAAACCTTCCTTCCTTCCCTCCAACTTTCTTTCTTCATCCCTCCTACTATCCCTTTCTCTCTCCTTCCTTCCTTCCTTTTCCTCTCCCTTCCTTCCTATCTTCCTACAAAATTTAGACTTAATTATAAACGTTTTATGGTATCTTGAAATGAAGCTCGTAATTCACCATCTAACCAAATTTCAATTTCTGTAGGCCTGCAACTTTAAAGCAAAATCCTTTATAGATCTAAAAAAAATGCTCCCAAAATTCAAAGAGGCTTTCTATCAGACAAAATCAACTGATTTAAGGAAGTCACAAAAACATTAATGTAGCATTTTAAAAAATCTGTTGGAGGCATTCAAAATCCAGAACTTCCAATATTGCTTAAGCTACCCACAATTAGAATATTTTTCTAGTCTCTATTCACTGTGCCAGTTCTGAGGCTTGA